GGGTCTCGCTCTTGCTCAGGCTGGTTTGAACTCCTGACCTTGAGCAATCCTGCCCGCCTCAGCCTCCCAGAGTGGCTAGGATTACAGGCCATGGGCCACCGTGCCTGACCGAATTTTTAAATTTTAAAACTGAAAATGTACCACTGCTTTATGCATTTCAAATATACTATTAGGAAAGCAAAGTAAAAACTGAGAGCATTAGCTTAAATGACATTACAATTTAAGAAAAGTGAGCTGGTATGATGTGGATAGACAGATTATTCCTTTCTGCATTGCTGATGAAAAGAGGAAATTGATACTTTTTACACATTTTTTTTTCTTTTTACAACTAAGAAAAAGGCACAAGCAGCACACAGAGCCTGGGTAAAGATAGAAATGTACTGTCCCTGAAAATCAACATCAAGAACAAGGAGTTCTACTCAATTCTCTTCAGTGAGTAATAAGGGGAAACTCCTCATGGTTTCTTTACTTAGGGACATCTTTGTTACAGTAATAGATAGATTCAGTTATTCATCCATTCACCCATCAATCCAATGAAAAAAATTTATTGAGCACACAATGGTACAAGGTCCTAGATACTGTGCCTGTGGAGGGAGGTGGGTAATAAAATAAAATAATACCATCTTCTTCTTCTTCTTCTTCTTCTTTTTTTTTTTTTTTGAGACAGAGTCTCGCTTTGTTGCCCCTGGGTAGAGTGAGTGCCCTGGGTCAGCCTAGTTCACAGCAACCTCAAACTCCTAGACTCAAGCAATCCTCCTGCCTCAGCCTCCCAAGTAGCTGGGACTACAGGCATGTGCCACCATGCCCGGCTAATTTTTTTTCTATAATATTAGATTTGGCAATTAATTCTTCTATTTATAGTAGAGAGGGGATCTCGCTCTTGCTCAGGCTGGTTTTGAACTCCTGACCTGGAGCAATCCTCCTGCCTTGGCCTCCCAGAGTGCTAGGATTACAGGCGTGATTTACCATCTTCTTTTCCTACAAGGATTTCACAGTCTAGTGAGGGAGACAGGAAGGAAGGAAGGAAGGAAGGAAGGAAGGAAGGAAGGAAGGAAGGAAGGAAGGAAGGAAGGGAAAGAAAGAAAGAATCCTCTTAAAATGAGATGTTTCTATTCTATATCAATTCTAGAAAAAAAATGAGTTGTTTCATTGAGCTCAATCTTGCCCTTTTCAAGGAAGAAGCCATACCCCTGGTAAGAAGGAAAGCTAACAACAGAAAGAAACACCTATTCTTGGAAAAAGTGAGGAACTTGGAACTGTATCTCAACCTGAGTATGGGCTCCTCAACACCTAAGCTGGGTGGTTTGAATACTGTTATTTAACCTCTCCTGTATACACTAGGGGTGGTAATTCCTATCTACCTAACAGAGTTGAAGCTTAACTAGAAAGGACATTGTATTATGTTCAACGTCCTCTTAAGAGCTGGACCAATAGATTCTGACAGTCAGCTTAGGAGGAATCGGTAGTCTTGCCTCAATGGAGGGACCTAGAAGGGGCACAGAAAGGTATCAACCAATCCCAGTGGTACCAAACCTTTGGATTGGAGACAGAAATGCAGTCGTTTTATAATGGTCCCCTTCCCCCCAAAATAAGAGCAGTATTTAGATTCTATTTCTCACTATTGATGCTTTCGTGAGGGTGCTGGCAAAAGGAATGACTGACAAAGCACACTGGATTTAGGGCACCTCTACTGTGTGACCTTGGGCTCACTTTACCTCTTCGCGCTTCAGTTTTCTCATCTGTAATATGAGGATCAAACTTCCTTCTTAACTATCCACCCAGTTTTTGTCAGGATCCAAGTCGAATGTATGTGAAAGCGCCCTGGAAGCGCTAGAGCGCCTGGCAAATATTATGTTTGGTAACATAATAATTCCCGGTAACAACTAAGTGTTCCGAAGAGGAAAGCACCTCCCTGCTTGCTTTGTCACTGTCCTTTCTCCTCGGCCTTTATTAACTTTGTAATTTATAATCGGAGAAACAGCTGAAATCCTATGGCTGTCTCTGGCACTAGATTCTCGGGCCGCACCCAGACACACAATACCAAATCGCCACGCCGGCTCGGATGCAAGGAAACAGCCCTTCTCCACTCGCGGGCGGGCCCTCACCTTCAGGCCCCACCACTGCGAGTCCCTGAAGCCAATCCCCACAATCTCCGTGCACCGCACCGCCCCTTAGAGAGGGGGAAACACTATGGCGACCTGGAAGAACGGCAGGGGCACGAGCCAATCACTGCAGACCGCTGCCCTCATCCGGCAAGGCCCAGAGGCGGGGTCGGCAGCAAAGATGGGCAGCCAGAGAAGCCAATAGAGTGATCGGAAACTGGGGGGAGGGCGGGCAACAGGCTCTCACAGAGCGGTTAGGGCCCCTCGAGCCAAGGGCCCAAGGACCCGCTCGGACTACAGCTCTTCCCTTTATCCACCCCAAAGTTCTCCATCTCACGGTTGCTGGCCAATCGCTCTACCTGCTGACTACGGGGAGGAGGGCGGGAGACGGAGGCGGTGGCGGCTGAACCCGCCTGACAGGCCGGGCCAGTGACAAAGAGCCAGTGGCCCAGGCTGAAACCTGGGAAGCGATCCTTTCAAGGAAGAGAGCCCAAGTCCCTTTAGATATAGAAAAGAGGCAACTCACGTTGTCGATCACGACAGGCTGGTTGGCGATCACATCGTAGGACTCCATGGCAGGGGAATCTCTCCTTCCGAGGAAGGAACTGCCAGCCGGGTCCGCAGCTAGCGCCACTGACACGCATGCGCAGTCTAGCCGCCGGCTCAGGGCAGCCAGGGAGCGGCTCAACCTCGACACTGAAGAACTACAAGCCCCATAATGCTTTGCACCCGGGTTAGCGAACCGGCGTGCTGCAGAACCCCGCCTAATTTGAGACTGGGCGGCATAGCATCTCCGATGCACAGTAAGCTGGGGTTTGTAGTCTCCATATAGTAAATAGATGGAGACACAGGTTGATGGTTGTGTTGCATGCCTGGATCTGTAGTCCCTTTGAAAGAGTTCGCAATGCATGCTGAAGTATGTAGTCTTCCTGAATACTTGCCTGTACTGCGGTTTGGATTGGTCAGTAATTCGTGGATGTTTGGATTTTACAGATCAGTCCTGCCACTCCCGACTCCCTTTCTCCTGCACAATATAGGGTTGCCATATTTTTATTCGGACCTATAAGACTTTAATAAACATCTCCTAACACCTCACACTCTAATAGGAAATTTTAACACACACACAGAAGCACACTAAGAATATATCCCTAAAACAAAGGAAAACAATTTAAATGGAATAAAATTAGCTTTAAGAAAAAAAGCTGTATATTGTCGTTGCTTTTCGCATTTTTTCCTGGATAGGTGTAAACTTTGTAACGGGCTAAAATTGGTCTGAAGATTGGCATTTGGAACTACTGATATAGGTGATCTTTTGGTAGTTAAAATATCATCTAAGGGTTTCGGGAACTGCTCTAGTATCTCTTTAATTTTCATGAAGAGCTCGAATAGACATTTATGGGTGAGAAAATGGATGTGAAGAGAGGTTACGTGTCACTGCTTTCAAATGCCCAATGCATTTTTCTTTGGATTATTTCCTTCTCTGCCCTGCTCCAAGTTGCAGGGGCCCTTTTGTCAATAGCACTAGGAAACATATATATAATCTATTAAAACTAATACCACACGGATGAATGAATCACTCCATTGCCAGATTTATGTTTAAATCGTTGTTAGCAGCATGTCAGCACAACAGTGACAAATCCTTTGTCGGCACACCACTCAGAGCTTTCGTGGGACTCTAGCACCTCAGAAAGATGCCTCAACATCTCTGTTAAACCTGGGTTCCTCCTAACACTAGGGGGAGACCAAGAGCCTTGGGATACTCCCAAACCAGGGAGAGGGAGGCGGGGCCTATGGTCAAGCCACGCCTTCCCCACCTGTGACTGGCACAGACTTTAACCAATGGGTGCTGGGATGGGGCGAGCTGGCGCCCCGCCCCCTCGAGCGCCCCGCGGCCCCGAGGCACCCTCTGGCAGACTCAGCGGCGGCGGCGGCGGCCTGGGCGGACAGTGCACCGTGCGCAGGCGCGGAGCTAGACCTCGCTGCAGCCCCCATCGCCTCGGGTAGTCGCACCCACCGAGTCCGCCCGCTGGCCCGTCAGTGCTTTCCTTTTCGTCTGCCCTCCCCGGTTCCCTCAGCTCCCTACTCACCCCGATGGCGGAGCTGCGGCCTAGCGGCGCCCCCGGCCCCTCTGCGCCCCCCGCCCCTGGCCCTGCTGCCCCCCCGGCCTTCGCCTCGCTTTTTCCCCCGGGACTGCACGCTATTTACGGAGAGTGCCGCCGTCTCTACCCTGACCAGCCGAACCCGCTCCAGGTTACTGCTATCGTCAAGTACTGGTATGCTCTGGGCCGCGGGGAGACAGACAGGGGCGGGCTCGGAAGGGTTAAAGCACTGGGGGCTAGGTAATTTGTGGGAGGCGGAGGAGGAGGGTAGGAGAATGGTTAAAGCACTTGGAAGGAGGGCTTCCTGCTGCGAGGGAAGGAGTTAAAGCTCAAGTTGGGAATGGGGACAAAGGGGTTAACGGAGCCTGTGGGTAGTGAAGGGTTAACCGGGATTAGAATAGAGTGAGGACTAGGGGTGTGTGTAGGAGCAGAGGGGGGAACGGTGTGAGAGAGGGAACTGTAAACGTGGTGAAAGGAGGGGGCGCCTGTAGGGGGTCATTAGTGGGCGAGGGCAAGCCAAGGGGGGGTGGCTGAAGTGGGATGGGGGAGGTGAGGCGGGGCCTGAGGAGCATAGGAGAGGGCTTTGGAGGAGTGAGGCTGGAGAAGCTCTGAGGGCACTAGACTGCAGGGGGTAGGGGCGGGTCTGGGGCCCGGCTCTCCGGTGGGTTAGAAGGGCAGGAGATGAGAGACTTGTGGAGAGATGAGGAGGAGGACTCCTTTTGATACCTTACTGATGAGCTCGGACGTCCTATCAGTGCAAAGCTTTTGCTTTTGAAGTTTGACGGGGCAACTCTTGCTGATAAACTTTTTGCTTACTCTGCACAGTTCTCTTTCTCCGTGCAGAGCTTCGTTCTGGCTCTGCAGCTGCTTTGCTTTAGGGACATTAGCTAAGAACAGGGACAGGGAGGTCTGTGGCTTGGCTCAGGATTGAGGAAGACCACAGCTTCCTATTCCCCCCAAGTAAATGATGGAGACCTGGGACCTCAGCAGGGAGGAAAGAGTGCAGTGGGACATTAAGAGGAGCTTCCTGGACCACTAGCTGCATTTTCTCCGGAAAGCTGAGGGTAACTCTCAAGTAGCCCAGGGGTAAGAATGGTCTTTTCCAGTTTCCCATTCCTGTTTGCAGCATTTCTTCCTGCAGCCTTTGGACAAAAGAGGTGTTAGGGGACTCTGGAAAAAAGCCTGTCTTCATGATCTTTCTGGGCCAAAAGTTGACTGAGGTATTGGTTGAATCTGTCCACAACCACATTGGTGCAGGTGCTGTATTAGATGATTCCTCTCAGTGAGTCCTGAAAGACTGTTTGGCAACTGCTTGGGGTGTGGCCAAAGGATAGATCCAAAGGGGGAAGTGGACATCTTGTCTTTGCTGGTTACCTCTCCTTTTAGGATTGAGTCTCTCTCCTTATGACAACCTCTTACTTCCTCTGGAGATGGCAGTCACTAGGCTGTGCAGGACTGAGGCCAGCAAAGAGGCTGACAGTGTGCATGGGGACCAGCCACCTGCTCTCTAGGGAGGGCAATGTGGAGCAGCCTCTGTCCGGGGGCTAGGAGGAGGTGTGGTCCACAGTGCAGTCCTCTCTGGCAGACAGACGGTTCTTTGGTTGAGAGGAGTTTTTGAAGAGCGCTTCTGAGTGGAAAGCAGCTCTTGCTAACTTAATCATCCACTCTAATTGTGCTGAACTTGTTGTCATGTGTCATGAGAAAAGTCAGCCTGGCTCTGCTATGTTGTATGTTCAGGCACCATTTGAGTGTGAGGAGAAATCCCTACACAGATTCAGCCAACTGCTTTTTATGTCACCCAAGTGGCTATAAAGGACAAAGTTGTGTCTAAAAGGTATTGAAGCACATGCAAAGGACTAAGACTGATTTGGGCAATTTTTTTCCATCCAGCTGCAAGCTTGTTAACTAGGCCGTATCTTCAGAGATGTGCCAGCATGTAATGATGAATAAAGAGGATTGTATAGTACTTTGTGAATTTAGAAATGCTGCCTAAATGCAGAAAAATATTAGAGGAGACAGCTCAGTGATTGGTTTTTTAGATTTGGAGGGGTTTACAAAATTAAGATCCTGAAATTCATTTGTATCCCTCATGTTTGGGATCCCATGAGGCCTATAGCAGGATGACTGAGCTGGGCTGCCTGGGTCTGGTTGTGGCTCAGGGTACCATGGGATTCCTTTTGCAATACAAGAGTGGCTCTTTGGCCAGTGGTCCCTGGTCAGCAGAGACGATCTGGCTGAAAGCTGAGACTTTGATGAGCAAGGATCAAAGCAAAGAGGCAGACCCTATCCCCTGGGCCCACTCCAGTCCTGCTACTGCCTTGTGGAGAGAAGTCAGATGTTCCAGGAATTAAGTTGAGGGATACTCTGAGATGTTGGATAACATCTTCTTCTAAGTATAAAATATGCTTTTTTTCCACAAACTCATCTGCTGTCTGAGTAGACGAGCAGAACACTCTGTGCTTCAGGACAAGGTTAATTTTGTCTGACTTGTGGTCATTCCCTGCAGTTGGTATTTTAAGGTAAAGTTTCTCTCCTTGATGTGACACCTCCTGAGGACTTGGTCAGAAGGAGGGGAGCAGTGGTATATGGCAAGTGGAACAGGGAATGGTGATTGCAGTTTTGCTGCTTGGTGCTGGATGGACCTAGGCTATAAGAAGGGCAGGGCTGAGAATTTGTGGCAGGAAACTGGAGCAGAGATGGGGCCTATAGTCACACCTGTCTGGACTGGGGGTCCTTCTAGGGATCTCTCCCCTTTTCTTCCCTCCTTTCCCTCACAAACTTTTCTAAACCCAGCTGGTTATAGAATTAAGTCACATGATTTGGCAAAATCAGTTAAGAGCAGATATGGAGGTTTTTCCCTTTTTCTCAGTTGAGATTCTAAGCTATTTGTAGCAATTTTCTTACAAGTTCTATAAATAACTTAGCATTTCCTAGCAGAGAATAAAGATTTCTACAATGGCAAATAATATCCTGGCAAAAGAGGATGAAACCAGACCTACTGGTTTTAAATAGTGTTTAAATTGCATGTTACTGGCACACTTGCTGGGATCACATGTAACATGCCTTTTGTTTGGTTGATAGCTTTCCACCAGCACACTATGCCTGTTGCAAAGTGTACCCCATCAGCGTCCCAGGGCAGGCAAAGTTTTTGCAGTCTGTGGAATGGTTGGATGTTTGAGGCAGCTCAAATGTAGTGTTCCTGGTCTAAGTGCAGACTTTCTTCTGCTGATGGGTTTCTATTTAGTCTGTTTCTCAAGTATACCAAATTTCTCTATTCTGAAGAAAAGCAGGACTTTTTTTTTTTAAAAGCACTCATTACTAAAGGGAACTCATTTAATTAAATCCTCAGAGTGAGATGATAACTAAGTCTGTTCCTCAACTGCTTCTCTGTTGAATTGTGGGGGAAATTTAATGTGGTCCTCAGAGGCCTCAAATCATTTATGTCCCAGCTCTACCTTTGAGGCAGCAGTCTTCTGGGATCATTTTCTCATGCAGATGCTCACAGGGCTCGCTTTTGCTCCTGCTGCAGTTCTCTGTGCAGAGCTGAGCTAGCCTAAGTTTGGCCTTTGTCACTTGCAATGATAAAAGACCAGCTTGGTCCATGAGGTGCAGGCTGGGGTCTGCATGGACTGCAGGCTTTGGGTTTGTTTAGAACAAACTGTAATTAACATAGGGCACAATATAGGCTTTCAGGAATTAGCTGTCTAAGGGGCAGGAGTGGAGTGGAGCCTCTGCTTCCACGAACAATGCCCATTGGGGATGCTCTGAATGTTCTTTCAACAGAGGCCAATTGATTGACTGATGCACCTCTTGCCTTGAAGTTTGCTGTGTATACAGGTACCATAGAAGAGAGATAATCCCTACCAATCCCATTTGGGATCAGTAATTTGAAACAGGCAAAAGCAAAATGGGCAACCACCAGTCTGTTTTATTTCTAAAAGGGGCCCTGCCTGTTGGGAGTAGGAGAAGGAGCCTCTTGTGCTTGTGGAGTTGGGTACCCTTGGCTGCCCATCCCTTGGCCTCATCTTAGAAAGGTGTAGCCTCCCTTTAGTTATTTTTCATGCCAGGCTTCTCCAAGATGGGGCCTTTAGGTTTGCAAGGCACAGCCCCTTAGCTTGACAATGTTTGGTTTCCAGGCTTCTACTGACACCCCTGTGTTTGGTCTTTTACAGGTTGGGCGGCCCAGACCCTTTGGACTACGTAAGCATGTACAGGAATGTGGGGAGCCCTTCTGCCAACATCCCTGAGCACTGGCACTACATCAGCTTTGGCCTGAGTGATCTCTATGGTGACAGCAGAGTCCATGAGTGAGTGTGTGCCACCTGTTCTCCTACCTGCCAGTTCCTTAGCCTTGAACCTTAGAGGTTTTTCTGAGTAGGGGTGATAATGTAATAGTCCTGTAAGCTTGGTACTTCTCAGGTGGAATATCTTGGTTTCTGCCTTCTGCCTATATCTACTCGTGTCAAAGTGGTCTATATTAGCACCCGATTCCTGCTTATCTGGTGTGCGAAAGTGTCAGTGATGAACAAGAGTTCCAAAACCATTAGGTTTTTCCTAGCTCGTTCTGGAGGTTGGGCTAAGAGGACAGGTAGCATAGATATGACCCAGAACTTGGGTTGATGCTTCTAAGTCCACTTCCTTTTATCCCCCCAGCTGATTATGACAAATTTTAAACATAAAGCAAAGTTGAATGAATTTTACAGTGAACACTCATTTACCCACAACCCAGATTCTACTGTTAATGTTTTACTATACTTGCTTTATCACAAATCTGTCCATCTCTCCATCCCTTATCCATCTTACCTACTTCCTTTTCACCTGCATTTATCTATGCTCAGATTATCACATTACATTTTTATCCTAGCCTACTTCTGTTTGTTTTCTGTATACTTCTAAATCCTACCTGCTTCCCCTGTTTCCCTCTGTTATCATCTGGTTTGTATTTAGTGAAAACATACGCATTTTAATACTAAATTAAACATAATCAACTGAGTGTTAAGTCAGATAAAACAGCAGCAGCAGCCAGAATAATTATAAAAGCTAATATTTATTGAACACTGATTATGAGTCAGGTACTCTTCTAGTCATTTTATATGTACATGTTACTAACAAATTTAATTTTCACAACAACCCTATAATACTGGTAGGTACTAAAATTTGCCCCATTTTACAGGTGAGAAAACTGAGATACAAAGAGGTTCTATAACTTGCTTAATAATACAGCTTAGAAGTGGCAGAACCAAGATTTGAACACACTCAGTCTGGCTTCAGAGTCTGTACTCTTAATGACTGCACTCTATTGCCTCTTAAACAATTATATACTCCAATAAGCTACTGTTTATAATCCAAAAAACATTTTTTCCATTTATATTCTTTTGTCAGAGGATTTATTTCCTTCAGTTTAAATGTAATCTTCCTTCTGGGCTGGGCGCGGTGGCTCACGCCTGTAATCCTAGCATTCTGGGAGGCCGAGCCTGGCGGATCACTCAAGGTCAGGAGTTTGAAACCAGCCTGAGCAAGAGCGAGACCCTGTCTCTACTAAAAATACAAAGAAATTAATTGGACAACTAAAAATATATAGAAAAAATTAGCCAAGCATGGTGGCGCATGCCTGTACTCCCAGTTACTCGGGAGGCTGAGGCAGGAGGATCGCTTGAGCCCAGGAGTTTGAGGCTGCTGTGAGCTAGGCTGATGCCATGGCACTGTAGCCTGGGCAACAGAGTGAGACTCCATCTCAAAAAATAAATGTAATCTTCCTTCTTTCTTATTAGCGTGGTTAATTAAGAGCTGATTTTATTTATATTGTCATATTCTCTTCTGTTTTTTGCTTTTTGTAGTATTTTGCCTCTTATACGATCTTTTTTGTATCTTTATGGCAGCTACTTAGCCTGGGCAGATTGAAAGAGTAGGAGCAGGGCTCTTCCTGTCCTGCTTCAGTGTAGAGGCTGATTCTGGAGATGGTGGTGGTATGATAATAAGGAAGACTTTCATAGACTTTTTTTCTTTGTTTTAGTTCTTACTATCTTCCATGTCATTCTGTTAAATGCTTTATAATCTTATCAGGTTCTCTTGTTATCTCTGTTTTATAGATGAAGAAACTGATCTTGAGGGGTTAAATGAATTGCTCAAAGCCACTGGGATTGAACTGGCTGTCTGAGTCTGAAGTCTGAGCTCTTAACCATTGGTCTATACTGCTTCTCAGGTCATAGGCCCAACCTAACTTCCTCTTCTTTCTTATTAATCTTCTCTCTTGTCACGTGTTTGGAGCAATGTCTGGTCCTGCCCTTACAGCTTTCCAATGCATCCATTGCAGTGTCAGCAGAAGGCTTTGGGAACAGGGAATTAATCTTGCCTGAATGGAGGCCCTGCGATACAATATTAATAATGGAGATAGAATAGCAAACAGATGTGGGAAGTTAAGGGACTATGCTGGACTTTAATTTATATTTTTAATAAGAACCTACAGAGGGTATTTAGTGCAGCTAGCCTGTACCTTTTTGTTGACAGATTTATTCTAGTTAAAAGAATACCATTTCCTTTTTTTAATTATTTTTTTAACTTTATAATTTAGATTTTTCTTTCTGTATGGTGAAAGATAAAAAGGGGGGAGGGGGGGCCTAAGATTAGAGTAACAGGAGAAAGACATAAAGTTGAGCAAGAAGTCACAGAATGGTCTCTGTCCCATTGAGTGACAGTTGCCACTGGTACAATCCCAGGGCAAGGATGCAGTCAAGGATTTTCTCTCAGCACCAAGGAATACCATTTCCTATATGTATTAAAGATTCTTCCAGTCTACCTGCTTATCAGGTATAGGCCCAAGGCCCAAAATAACATGAAGAATGTAATTGAGAAAGCCGTATATTTCAGGAGGGACCACCTCTGAATTTGAAATAGGAACTTCCTTACTATTTTTCCTAGTTTAACATGTTACTCCCTTACATGTGTTTCATTTCTATATGATAAAGCACTTGGATATTTATATATCATTTATGACAAGAGTGAAACCTCTCTGTGGGCTTTCATTTCACTGTTCAAGCCTAGTATTTTCCAGCATTACATCCTGCCACTAGAAGGACATGGAAAGAATGTTCTCAGATATTTACCCAGTTCTGCTCTATGTTGCAGAAGTCAAAAGTGCCTTTATAATTGGTCTTATGCTGGTATGACTGATTTCTTCTTGATCCTGGTAAGTTTCTTGAAGAAAGATCTGCTTTTCCAAACATTTCATGTGGTGAAGGCTCTTTAAAATGAGTTTAATGGCTGGCATGGTGGCCCATGCCTGTAATCCCAGCACTTTGGGAGACTGAGGCAGGAAGATCTTTTGAGCCCAAGAGTTGGAGGCTGCAGTGACCTATGATCAGGCCACTGCACTCCAGCCTGGGTAACAGAGCAAGACTCTGTCTCTAAAAAAAATAAATAAGAATCCTGGGCGGGCACGGTGGCTCATGCATATAATCCTAGCACTCTGGGAGGCCGAGGCGGACGGATTGCTCAAGGTTAGGAGTTCGAAACCAGCCTGAGCAAGAGCAAGACCCTGTCTCTACTATAAATAGCAAGAAATTAATTGACCAACTAATATATGTATAGAAAAAATTAGCTGGGCATGGTGGTGCATGCCTGTAGTTCCAACTACTCGGGAGGCTGAGGCAGCAGTATTGCTTGAGCCCAGGAGTTTGAGGTTGCTGTGAGCTAGGCTGATGCCATGGCACTCTAGCCTGGGCAACAAAGCAAGACTCTGTCTCAAAAAAAAAAAAAAAGAATCCATCCCTAACTTGACCCTGTCTCTAAAAAATAATAAAATAAAATAATAAAAATATTTTAATGAATTCTCATTTAACTTACTATTCAAAACCAAGGGGTCAGAAAGATGAATATTCTGCCAGCCAGCTTAAGTGCTAAGAGGTGCTGGGTTGGAATTATGGCAAATGAATCTCTGGCAACAGTTCTTTTTCCACTGTCTTGTCTTCTCATTCAGTGAGAAAAGGGCTGAAGCATTGTTTCATTTTTCAGCATACATTCATCAAGCACCTATTCTGTAACAGACCAAAAACATCATAATAGATATCTTGGGGATAAAATGGCAAGACATAATTCCTATCTCAAGGGGCTCATGTTTTAAAGGGGAGATAAACATAAAGAGATCATTATAGTATTGAGTAATAAATGCTACAATCTATAGGTATAGAATGTGATCTGGGAGCAGAGAGGAGGGAGTGACTTTTAGTCAGGCCGCTGGATTGCAAGAAGCTTTTGGGAAGAGGTGAAGTTTGAGAGGAACCTTGTAGGAACAGGCCTGGGAGATGTGATCTGCAGCCTGACACTCTGGGAAACCAGATCCACTTTTAGGTCTGAGAGGGACTTTAAAAATCTTCTAGTTCAATGTTTCCAAAATTCCAAGAGCTACCTTCATAATTTTTGCCACCTGTAGTATTATTTACTTTATGTTCTGTAAGTTATCCACTCTTTTAAATATGTGTGTGTATTTTTTTTTTTTTTTTGAGACAAGGTTTTACTCTGTTACCTGGGCTGGAGTGCAGTGGTGTGATCATAACTCACTGCAGCCTCAAATTCCTGAGCTCAAGTGATCCTCCTGCCTCAGCCTCCCAAGTAGCTGGGACTACAGATATGCACCACCACTGCACTCCAGCTAATTTAAAAACAGTATTTTTATAGAGTCAGGGTCTTGTTATATTGTCCAGGTTGGTCTCACACTCTTGGACTCAAGAGATCCTCCTGCCTTGACCTCCTAAAATGCTGGGATTACAGGTGTAAGCCACCACACCCAACCCCCAAAAAATATTTTGAAAAGTTAAATCACTACCATATATGGAAATCAATATCATTTGCCATAATTTAAAGGTAATTATAGAAATAAACACAATGAAAACAAAGCAACATTATTACATTCTAGCTTAATTCTGTGGCTTGTCACAGAAGATTCTAAACCCGAGGCCAGGTTTTTCTTTGAGCAAGAGATTAGCAAGGGTAGCCGGGCATGGTGGCACATGCTTGTAGTTACCAGCTAGTCGGGAGGCTGAGGCAGGAGGATTGCTTGAGCCTAGGAGTTTGAGTTTGCTGTGAGCTAGGCTGACTCCATGGCACTCTAGCCCGGGGAACAGAGTGAGACTCTGTCTAAAAAAAAAAAAGAGAGATTAGCAAGTATGAGAGAGGTGTTAAAAAGCCATGCTATTAGGCCGGGCGCTGTGGCTCACGCCTGTAATCCTAGCTCTTGGGAGGCCGAGGCGGGCGGATTGCTCAAGGTCAGGAGTTCAAAACCAGCCTGAGCAAGAGCGAGACCCCGTCTCTA